GGCCCGGGGGAGGGGGGGACACAAAAGAAATATATCAAAGGGGTGGGCCAGGCCATCGTGACCAACAGAAGCAAGCGGCACGCGGCCTGCAGACGTGGGTGTGTGCATCTAACACAGCCGAAATGCCGCGTGCACGTGCCTGCCGTCGTCTCCTGTGCCGCGCGAGGGCCCCCAACCACACTCGCCCCTTGCAGACTTTGCTCCTACGTCTTGAGGGTCGCCGCCCCCCACGCGGCACTGACCCTCACCCCTCCTCTGCCCCCAAATCTGCAATCAAACCGTCCAAACAAGCCACCGACCCAAAAGCCACCACAGCAGCACGCTTAACGCAGCCCCGCCGCCGTTATACATACTCGCGACACACTGCGAGTTTCTCAGAGACAGGCGCGGCGAGCGGGAGCTGGGCGGAACCCGCGGGGAAGCCGCACCTGCCCCTCGTACTTCTCTGACAGCGCCTTGAGCAGGTCGGCCGCCGCGCGGCGCCGCGTGTCCGCGTCGCTGCCCTCCGCGTCCCGGCGAATGTACTCCACGGGGTTCATCTCAAACATCTCCTCGTCGTCCTCGCGCACCTGATAAAAAAGGCGGGAAAGAAAATCAAAAAACGTCATTCGAAATTTGAGATTTGAGGTGACACGTGGCGGGCAGGAGAGGGGAGAGGAGGGGTTGGTCGGGGCTGGCTGGAAGGGGAGTGCAGGGGTGGGGGGCGGGCTCGTGCGATGCGTCGCGCTTGTGCAATGTGTGCAGCAGCGCTCGACCGCGGGCCAAACATGTGGCGCAGGCGTGAACGAAAAGCCGTTCAAAACCACCATTTGATACACACATGGCACTGCAGGCCCTCTCCTTCCTCTTCCTCGCCAAAACCACCCAACATCCCGACAAGGCCGGCCGCAACCCCGACCTCCCTCCAAAACCAACCCAAGCTTGCGTCACCCCCCCCCTTGACGTCGCACATCTCTGTTTATCCCCCCCGACCCACCCAAAAACAAAACTGGGCCACGCTGCAGGGGCTCACCATGAGGTTTGGCAGCACGATGGACTCGCAGACCTGCTGCAGCACCGCCGCCTCCGCGAACAGCTTGTGGTGCACGCTGCGCGCCACGGTGGTCAGGAAGCGCGTGGCGGCCATTGCCAGGTTGTCCTGGCCGCTGCGGCCGCTGACGCTCGTCAGGAGGTGCCACACGTCGGTCACAAAGGTCTGGGGGGGGGGGAGGGGGAGAGTGCGGATGCGGTGTGCGTGTCGCACACATGAATGTATGTGTATGTGTATGCGAGAGAGAGGGAGGAAGAGAGAGAGAGAGAGAGTGTGTGTGTGTGTGTGCGCGCGCGAGAGTGGGTGCGTGTGCAGGCGCGCGCCCACTCAAGCCGCAGGGCCACAAGAAGTTATCAACCACACGCACAAGCGTTGCGAGCAGCTCCTTGCCCCTGCCTCAGCCTACGCTCATAGGTCGGCCGCGAATCCCCCCTGAAACAATCCATCCCTGAGTTGCGCCCTACCTCCCCACACGCACACATCCGCACCTGCATGAACCTCTCAAACTCCTCCTCATTCATCTCCATGAACAGGTTGATGTTGGCACACACCGCAGCCTGGGGGGAGGGGTGGTGGGGTGAAAGCAGGGCCAGGGGTGGTCAAGGGATTTAGGTTGGAGCTTCAGGGGGGTGTCTCAGCATGGCAACTGATCCAGGTTGGTGTTTTGTCAGAAGGGGGTATGAAGGTGTGCTCTGTGCTGAGGGCGGCAGGCGCACAAATTGAGGCCCATGCGAGCCCTGCGCTCCTGGCATCAGGCCGCGGCGCCTGCAGGCGCGCTTGCGCGCTGTTGGCACCGCCACCTGGCAACAATGCACACCCACGGTTATCTGTCTCTGTCGCTCTCTCCCACACACACTTCCACCCCCCCCTCCCCCACACACACACACAAACAAACACACACTCACACACACACAGGTGCACGGTCGCTTTCGAATGCACACCTTCGATGTCTCACCCTTTCCTCAACAGCCACCACATGCGCGCCCCCACCCACCCCCCCAAACCCCACCTTGAGTCCGTCCAGGGGCGCCTCCTTGGTGGGGTCTGACTCAGCCAGGCCCGGCCCCTCCTGCAGCCCCAGGAAAGAGTGGAACTCCCCCATCCACGCGTCAAGCTGGGACTCAAACAGCTGATGAGAGGGAGGTGAGTGCGCGCGTGTGTATGTGTGTGTGGTCGTGAGAGAGAGTGTGTGCATATGTATGCGTGTGCGGTTGAGAGAGAGGGCGCGCGCGCGCGTGTGTGTGTGTGTGTGTGTATAGAGGGGTGAGGAGAATGCGTTGTGAGGAAGGAGCCGGGGGACTGCATTGTGTAAAACTGTGAGTTTGGAGGCGGAGGCTCGAGGTTTTTCGGCCCGCGCAGGCCGCGGCGCCTCGACGCGGTGCCTATGCCGCCAACACGACGACCCCATCCAGTCGCCATCACAAAAGCGCAGCGTCCTCCTCCTGCCCTGCCCGGCTGAGGGGCGACCCGGCCGCGGACGCGCGTCTGCGCAAGACAGATGGATCGCCAGCGCGTGCAGCGCCGCGGCGCACCGGCGTGAGTCCCGGGGAGTTGAGGCTGAAGAAGATGCGGCACAGCAGCCGCAGCGTGCCCACCGCCAGCCGCAGCTGGTCGCCCTGGCCCTGCGCCGCCAGCTGGGGCACCTGCGGGCACGGGGATGATGACGTCACCAGAGGGGGTTTTCAACGTGTCACAAACGCAGGTCGCTGTGTGGGCGCACGCCCCATATCCTTTTGCCTGCGTGTCGCCGCCGCAACAGTCGACGCCGCAACCACTTGCGACTGTGTGTCACCGCCGCAACACTCGACCCCTCACCACCAAACCTCTGCAACCCCACCCTCTCAAATCACCATTGCACAGCCTGATCAACTTCCTGCAGCGAGACAGGCCGTTGGAGGCCTTGCTTACAAAGTGGACCCCCCCCCCCGCCGACCATCCCCAAGGATCCCGACAGCGCACAACCATCAGACCAACAAAGCATCACACATTTCACCACACCGACAGCCCTACTCCCCCCCCCCTCCCCCCAAACACACCAGCTTGCTGATCTTCTGCAGAGCCTCGAGCGCCGGCGCCGCAAACACGTCCTGGCTGGCCGCCAGCTCAGCAACCAGCGCGTCGTTGCCGATCTGGTTCCTGGGGTGACAATGGGGGCCAAAAGCCAGGCTCGGCGGGGATTCAGCGAGGCGATTCGTATCTTGGAGCGGCTGTCAACAACATGGCCTGCCCACCGTCAGGAAGCACAGCAGCGCGCAGCGGCGCCGGCACATGCGCCAAGCCGCGCCGGCCATCCCCCGCAGCCCCCGCTGGTTCTTGCCCCACCCTCCCTCGGCCCCGGCCGGCCGCACCCGACACGCACTATGCATTCTGCATTCTGCATTATGCGCGCCCCGCTCCACCATGCTCGTACCCATTTCCCGTTTCCCTGACAAGCCCCCCACCTGTATCTCTTGAATATGCTGTTTGCTGTGGCCGCCACACCATTAATCGTGCCCAGGTCGTCCGTCTGCAGCCGCGACACCAGCTCAGGCAGCAGCGTCGGCCACCTGGCGCGGCAGGCGGCGACGCGCGTTTGTGCGCAGCGGCCATGCGGCACCATGGTGTCCGGCTCAGGCGTGTATTTGCGCCAGCGCGCTTGCCTGCCGGCCCGCGTCCCTGCCGGCCTCATGCTAGGAGCTGCACGTTGGACACCGAAGCCAGTGCAAACAATCCACGACTGCGCGTCGATCCGACACACCCTCCGCCTGTCCACCTCTTGCGAGTGCAGGCGCATGCCAGCGCACGTGCGTGCACACGCACGCACACCAGCCCCCACACACCCACACGCGCCCGCGCCCGCGCGCGTCTCCACACACTCGCACACAAATACCACTGCACGCCACGCCAACGCACACATCACAAGCCCCCAGGGCCATATCCGTACAAAGCCCATGCCGCGTCGCCCCCGGCCCCCCCACCTGCCCGGGAAGTCGTGCCCGCTGATGATCGCCAGCGCCTCGCTCAGCTGCGCCCGCACCAGCTGCGGCGTGCTGAGCATCAGGCCGGTCAGCAGCTGCCGGATCTGGTCCTGCACGGCCGCGGCCGGAGAAAGTACAGAAAGAATGCGACAGGGTGCAATACAAGACGTCGGAGGGGGCCAGGGAGAGGCGGGATAGCGGCTGTTGGGCGCCCTTGGTGCCCTGATGGGCGGGCCCGCGGCCCGCGGCCCGTCCGTGTCGGCTTGCTGTTGCTGTTTGGCGGCCCGCCTCTCGGCCATGCACGGCCACATGCGCTCGCGCCTCGCAGCCTGTCACCACTGCCGCAGCAGCCGCCGCAGCAACTACAGCGGCTGCGGCGACGGAAGCCGCGCCAGCGCCTTCACCGCTGCCGCCCCCGCCGCCTGACCAAACTCGGAAGGCGAAGCGCCGCCAGCTTCCCGCAACCGCACCTTCTCTCCATTCGGAATTGGCTGTGTCCCCGCCTCCTGCGCCACCTCTGTAGGCACCTGCGCGCAGCAGCGGGTGTTGCCAGGGTGCGTGTGTGGTCGCCCGGTGGGTTCCCAGGCCGCTGCGTGCCGCGCCCGGGCGGGCTGGTGGCGACGGGGGCGCGGCTGCTGGCGGCGGGAATGCTGCAGCCGCCGCCGGCCCACGCAAGGAGCGACATGGCAGCGCGGCTCGCAACCGCGTGGCCGCCAACCCACTGTCTAGCAGGCAGGGCAGGCGCGACCTGCGGCGACGACTCTGCCGCGGCTGGGTCGGTGGGACAGCTCTATTTGCGAAAGTTTCGACGCCGAATGAGCCGTCGCAGGAGGGGGCGGCAACCCACCCAGCGATACTTGACGAGGTTTTTAAAAGTCACTGCCGCTGCCAGCCGGATGTCCAGGCCCAGCGCATCCCCGGCCGCCACCACCTGCGGGGCGGTGCGACGCGCGCGACAGCATCAGAGCACACGTCGGCAGCGTCTCCAGCGCGGCGCCGCTGGGCGACCCTGCCCTGCGCAAAGCGTTCATTGCCGCTGCGTGAAAGAGCCTTTGTATTACCTGGAGTACCAATATGCCATATCCGGGTTGCTGTGAGACGGCCTTCAGTTGCTCCTCGGCCTGCTTGATCACGTCCTGTCGACAACACGGAGGACAGGTGAGCGCGCTTCTCATCGCCGGCTGCTTTAGCAACCTTTTGCCCTCGATGCCCATCGCCAAGCCGCCGCCTCACCCTGTCGTTGGCCACTGTGCGCGCGAAGACCCCTGCAAGCTGTGCTACTTGGCCGTCCATGCTGCCTGATGAGCGTGATCGCAACAAACAACAAAATCAGCCCAAACGCGCAGGCGCTGGCCTCTGGTCGTGATCCATTCGAGCACACGGCATCGTGGGTACCCGGCAGCTTCGCAATGTTGTGATCTGGGCAGTGCCTCTCCGTGCCTCCAAGCCAAAAGTCACACCATTTCGACGTCTCGAAGGACAAAATCATTCTTTTGGTGCACCTTTGCACATCTGGCGCGCGCTGTCAAGCCCTTTCGAACGATCCACGACCTGCACCTGCCTATCTGACATACAAGGGCTTTGTCGACTAGTATCATCCCGTAGATCTGTCTCGAGACGGCAAGCCACGGCCCCTAGCCTTCTGGGCGGCAGCGCTGCGCAAAGATGTGCGGAGTCGCAGGTAATCGCAGCCTTCTTGAGCGCTGTCGCGTTATGCGAGTTTAAAATTGGCGCTGAGTCCCCCCCCAGCAGCAAGACTGCTGCGCGGCGCGCGTGCAACACCGATCATAGCTCGTCGTCGCCGGCGTGGCGCATGCCGCCGTCACGCTCCGACCCTGCCGTGCGCCGCGCCTGCACGCTGCGCTTTTGCAGGATGCTCCGTCTGCGCTGGCGCCTCCATATTCTCGGCGTTCTTCATGTTCCTGCTGGGCATATTGATAAAGAATAACTACCAGTGAGTTGACTAGGGCTTTTGACCGCAGCAGCGACGTGCAGCAGCGACATCCCCACACCCCCTACACAAGCGCAGCGCAACCTCCATGTGGCGAGACCTTCAATATGACCGCCCACCACCCATGCCCACGCTGCCCAGGTTCATCGGGGAGTGGTATGAGAAGGAGCCGCCCCACTACGCGCCCACGGAGGACCAAATCGCAGAGGCGTCGCGCAGCTGCTTTATTGTGGGCGCCATTTACATTGGCTGGATGGTGCTGGCCATCGGCTGCATCTGCTTCCAGAGCGCGCGCAGCAAGGTGCGGTGATCCGCGAGCGGCGCGCGGTCCAGCCCATGGCAGCAGCAGCAGCGGCGGCGGGCAGGGCGCATTTTCGGTCAGGCGGCAGCGGCAGCGGCGGGAGCAGCAGCGGCCGCCGCGGCTTGAGCCATGAGTCGCGCAGGCTCCTGGTCGCTCCCTGCGGCTCGCCCAACAGCATGTGTGGAGTGTGTCGATGCGGGCGAGCGGTGCATGTGCTTTCGGGTGGTGCGCAAGTTCTCTTGCGCAGAATGGCCTTGTCAGCCTGAGGCTGCGGCACAGGGGTGTGCTGTGCAGGGCAGGGCTGCATCGGATTCATCTCGGCCGTGAAGGTGGCCTCCTCCAGGCCACATCTGTATACACACATTTGAGCATTGTAACTCCCTTCCGTGGAAAGCTTGTCTATGTAAGTACACGCATCGCTGCTGGAATGGTGCCCAGGGGATATGGACTTGCCAGGAGCAACAGCAGCATCACCAGGGGCAGCAATGGCAGCGGCAGCTCGGCAGCGGCAGCTCAGCAGCAGCAACAGCAACAGCAGCAGGAGCGGCACCAATGGCAGCTCAGCAGTGAGGTGTTGTCACTGCGGCACTGGGTGCGAGCACAGAGCATCAGGCGGGTGTACCGTACTTTGTCACGACAAAGTGGCTCGGACACGCCTGCAACAATCATCAATTGCATCAACTCAGAAAGCTTCGGTGGGACGCTGGTTGCAGAACTCAAGGGACCATGGCCAGCTCACTGGGGACAGGGACATGTCAAACGTCGCCAATTAGAGCTGGTGGCCCCATCAATCGCAGGGCAGCAGTCCGCGTTGCGCCGGTGCTGCGCACTGACCCGATCTGGAGAACTGTGGCGCGCTCCGCCCCTGTTTGGGACGAATCTATGACGCTTGCCGACCTCAAATCACAGCTAGACCATGCAGTCGAGGCGGAAGACTACGACCTGGCCGCACGTATCCGCGACGCTCTGCAGTGCGTGTGCAGCATCCGCTGCGACGCCGTCGCTGAATGGATGCCCCAGCGTGTTCGTGCGTGGGAATGGCCAGCATGCCGGCATGTGCATCTAGACTGATTTGAGCTCGCAAGCGACCGCTGCCGCGCCGTCACCGTGGACGCCCGTGTGCGTGTGTGTCCCAAGCAGTCGCCTGCACCCAAATCTGCAGGCAGAAGCAAAGTGACGCTCGGCTGGCTGTGGAGGACGCCAACAAGCGTTTCTACGACGCGTTCGCATCTGGGCGCATAGAGGTTCGCTGCCGCTGACGGCGCGGCGTGCGACGCCACGCTGCGCGTGCTGTGCTCTGCTGCGCTGTGCTCTGCTGTGCTGTTCTGCGTTGGACGGCAGGGCAAGCCAGGTGTTTTCAGCGATTTTCTTCGCAAACCTGGCATTCCTGACTGGCTGTTGCGGTCTTGTCTGACGCCTGCTTGCCACAGGAGATGAGCAAGGTGTGGGGCAAGGGCGACTACGTGCAGACCATCCACCCGGGGGCTGGCGTCATCTCCGGGCGCGAGCAGGTGCGCGCGACGCCACCACCCTCGCCCCTGTCCACTGCGGCGGCCGGGCCTGTGCCTGCAGCCCAGCTCAAGAAGCCACGCTTCCCCAGCGGCATTCCTTGCTCTCCCCTTGCTGCTCTGCCGCAATCCGGCACCACCCCAGTCTTGTCGCCGCCAGCAGCTGCGGCCCCTGATTTCAAACCCCCATCGTACCTTGTTTCTCGTCCTTCACAACAACACCGACCAACCGACCGACCATTAAACCGCTTGTATCCGACCAACCAATGTGTGTGGCGCCGCCCCAGGTGATGGAGAGCTGGCGCTCCATCCTGCGGGGCGTGCGGCCGCGCGCCTTCCGCATCACCGTGGAGGACGTGCGGGTCTTCGCCAGCGACAGCAGCGGATTTGTGACGTGCACCGAGGTGGTGGACGCGGACGATAGTGAGGGCAGGTGGGCAGGGGTCAGGGGGCAAGGCGGGGCGGTGTTCAGAAGCAGTGGCGGAGTGTTGGTTTTGAGATGGCACTTGTGGGTGGTGGGAGGTTGAGGGCAAGGGACCGCATGCTGACCTGGTGCGAGTGCATCGTTGGTGGCGTGAGTGCTGCGTCTGTGGGTTGCTGTTGGGCCGCCGTTCTCGGCGCTGCGGCGCGGCGGTGGAGAGGGCGGCGGCGCAATTGTTGTTGGACACACCAGCAGCAAGTTTGCCAGTCGCTAGTAACTCTCTGCAAAAGCATCCAAACCTGCCCCAGCCGTACAAGCAATTCAAATGTGCCCCTGGCTTAAGCTCCTGGCTCAACTTGAGCCAGGAGCACGTTTGAATTGCTTGTGCGGCTGGGCATCTCACGTTTCACGGTCACCTGCCTCCCCTTCCCACGCACTCCCCACGCCCATCCCTGCCCACACCCTCCTTCCTCAACCAACCCCCTTCGCCCCCACACTCACCCAAAAACAGGACCATCGCCACCAACGTATTTGAAAAGCAGAACGGGAAATGGGTCATCACGCACCACCATGGGTCTCCCCTGATGCGCTTCAGGTAGCTGTGGCCTCATCTTCGGCGGCATGGACCCCTTTGAGCCTGGCGGCAGCCCTGTTGCGGCTCTGTGGCAGCTTGGGTGGCAGCTTCCATGCGCATTCCACCCTGTGCACGTCCACCAGTGTTTTGTCCAGAGAGATTGACGTTTTTTGTCACGGTATGTGCGCCTGATGTCAGTGCACAGTCCCATGCTTGTTTGTTTTTCTCCTACTCAACATCAAGGTACTTCGTCCCACCACACAATTCAGCACAGCATGGAGCCTCCCCTGCATGACGGCACATGAGGTGCTCGCGCACGCGGTTGCATGCCTTTTTTACCTGGTGTGTTGTGCAGCTGCTCGCTCCGTTTCGGTTTTGTAGCTAGTCGTGTGACCCGTGACCTGGCGCTTTCACCATGTGCGTTTGGCCTGGTCACTCTCTCAGTCTGTTGCATGTGTTCGAGCATGTTTCGTGCTGCTGCTGCTGTTTTGTGGTTTGTTGATGCTGGGGCCGTTGTTGGCGCAAAAGCAGGTGTGGTTTTGACACGCAGAAGTGTCGAATCAATCTTGGAATGCATCTCCATTGGAACCACCCCCCGTGCTGACTCAGTAGCATGTTTGCCTCGTGCCCTGTCGGAATCGGCCAGTCCTTGTGTAACGTTCAACACGCCTCTGGACCTCTAGAGCACTGTGCAGCCGTGTTGGGACCCTTGGTTGTTTAGAGGGTGCCCCCGCTGGGTCGACCACAGCCAACAAGCTGGAGAGGGCGCATACTGTGAGCTGGCGTTCCGCCTGGAGCGACTCAGCTGCCCCAGGTGGAGAAGCTGGGTCACAGACAGTAGGGCTTCCATCTGCACGCCGGCAGCCAGGTCACCACCAATGATGCGCTTGGCGCCGCAACAGCTTGATCCACTGAATGCAGTAGGTTTGACATGCCTCTCCAGCAGCAGCATCTTCGCGGCCCGCTGGCGTGCCAGTGACTGCTGCATTTTACAAAGGACCCATTTCATTTGTGCACCTTCTTATCGCCATATCTCTTTTGATCATGACAAGGATCGCTCTCAAAACACGAGTGGTTGGCAAACAACAATGGTTTGACATATATTCATAAACTTTCCCAACGTTCTTGTGAAAGAGGTCACTAGAGCCCCGCCGCGCCTGGCTGGGTAAAACCCCAGCAGGTGCACCCCACCTCAGCGTCCCCCTGCTCAGCACCTCTCGGTCTGTGCGCCCTGCGTTGAAATCTGAATGTCCCGCTCATTCTGAAGCGTGAGTGCAGAAAAGGCCCAGTGTGGAACACGCACAAAGCGGTGAATGGGGCCATACTTTTGGGGTATGTGGCAGTAAGAATCTGAGTTTTTTGCAGACAGAAATTGCAGAAACGTCCGCTGCATATGTTTGTCCAGGCCACATTTATTTGTGCTTATTCTTCCAGGCAAGGACACTGCATTGCAGCAAATCGTGGAGCACATCTTCTGTGCCTCCGGTTTCTGCTGTAGGGCTCTTCTCATCCATCCACCCCCTCATGTCCAGCCGCTCGAGCCCAGAGCCCTCCAGCCCGCGTCGCCCGCAGCGGCGCCCTCACAGCCAGCTGGGGGCGGCATTGCAGGCGGCGCGCTGGCTGGGCGGCACCTGCGGCTGAACCTTGATGCCCGCGATGCCGCGCTTAAGCTCGCGCGCCAACTCGTACACGATCAACTGCGGGTGCGCGGTTGATGGTTAGGGTTTTGAAGGGCACGGCCACCCTTTGCAAGCGGCGTGCATGCGGCTCTATCTGGTGCCTGGGTGGTACCGCCAGTGTAGCTGGGTGGGAGGGGCGCGGAGCAGGGTGTTTGCAAGCTGAACATCCTCCCAGAACTGCTGCTAACGGTGTGTGCCGCAGCCAATGGCTCGATGTGCGGGGCCATTGCTCTCCGTTGTCTGCCGTACTCGGCACCCTTCTGGCCCCACAGCGGCAGAGCGACAGCCTCATCAGCACATCCCACGGCCAGGTCGACGTATCCCACCTCAGGGAGCCCGAGCCCGCAGTAGTGGAGGCAGTCTGGGAGGATTGGTGAGGGCAGCAGTCAGGAAAAGGGCATACTGTAGCAAGGCGGAGCCTCACGGAACGGTTGGGATGATTTGCAAAGGCGGCCTTGGGGGGTAGTTGAGGTCAACACCCAGCCATCCCGATCTGCCTTGCCCGTCATCATCCGGCCACAAGCCTACTGTTGCCTGCAATACAACCCTTACTGCCAGCTGGACCGGCGTGCCAGACACCCTCTCCTCCAGCCGGCGGCCTCTGCCACCGACCCTGGGCTTGTGAACGCGCCAGATCAGATCAAGGCACCCACCTAGCTCCGAAGTCGCCCGTGTGGCCGGGTGCGCGACGTGCAGTGGAACGCTGTAGGCGTAGCCCCCCAGGACGGGCAGCCCGTACTGCGACAGGATGTCCCTCGCGGGTGCGTTGAGGACGCCGCCGCGCGCCATGAGGGCGGCGGCGGCAGAGCGGGCGTTGGCGTTGACAAACAGCTCGCCGGATGTGTAGTTCAACCCCCAGCCTGGAGGCGCGGGTGAGGGTCCAGGAGAGGGCGCGCAATGTGCAATGTCTTCGTTGAGGTGTTCCAGGTGGGACATGGGGATGTGTCTAAATCGGGGGACGTGAGGTCCTTAAGTAGGGGGCGAAATGGCCTTCCTGCACAGCAGCGCAAGGAAAGGAAGTGGCGGCCCAGCCAGCCAGTCTTGCTGCTGTGTGTTTGCCTCACCCCTTCATCTACTTTAATATGTCTTCGTGCGCTCACCACTGGGTGCTGCTCGGCATATCTTTTTGCTCGTGTCCTTGTCGTGAGTCATGGGGGTCTCTCTGTACATCACGTGGGGCCACTTGCCTTTTGTCTTCTGTATATGGTTTGAGAGGGCAAGCAAGACTTCAGCGCTAGGGTGAGAGACGGTTAGGATGGCAGCAATAGTGGCACTTGGTTGATGTTGGGTAGCGACAAGGCTGCGGCAGCGGGATGGGGGCAGGATCAGGTGGGCTGTGCGCTGAGTGGTCTGGGGCTGATGATGTCACCCGCATCGGCCGCCCACCTGGTAATCCTCCCCAAGGGCCTTGACCGCCGCCTTGAACTTGTCCAGCCCCGCGGGGCCCTCCAGCATGTGCCAGGTGCCAAACCTGGGTCGATGCCCGTGCCATCGGGTTGCGTGGCAAGCAATAAATCAGGTGGGACTGTGCTGCACAGTGTCGGGAACCTCGCCCATGCACACACGCCTGCGGCATGCAGCCGACAAACAGCACAAACAGCGGTGTGTGATCGCACGTGCCTTGATTACTTCTTTAGAAGTTTTGATCAGCATTGTGAACGGATCACAACGCAATTGCCACCCACTGGATTACGAAAATGTCGCTGGGCTTGGCCATGCCCTTGTCCCGGAGCAGGTTTAGGACGCCGCCACCGCCCACCTGCAAGGGTGATGAATGCCGAAATCATAGAAGACAGTGCGCATAACATCCGGCAGGACAATGGGGGCTTTGAAGCCGGTTTTGCACGCCAGTGATATGAGTTGTTTACCTCCTGCTGGCCAAGGTGGAATTATTGGACAGCTAGACCCCCTGCATTGCCTGTATATTGCCCCACTCCCCCGGGGTCCACTTGCATGCCATAACCCTCCTTTCGTGAAGGAAACAGCAGCGTTGCTTCCACACCTGGGGGTTGTTGAGCAGGCTTGACCCCAGCACTGACTGGACGCGGCACACCCTGGTATTGCCCATCAGGTGCAAGCACTTGCTCTGTCCGGGCATCCAGGGGAGTTTGTCGATCTGACGGACTAATCCCTCATCAAACGACACCTGATGTAGTGACGGATGGATTTGGGGACATTGGGTGCTGGTGCTGTTGGTGAGATGCGGGGTACCCAAGACAAATGCTTGCTATGGTGGGCAGTACACGTGCCATTGCTTGCCCTGGTCTTCACCACACCTCGCCATCCCACCTTGCAGTCCTTGCCGTCCCAAAAGTCAAACATGAAGCACTGCAGCGCCTTGAACAGCTGCTTGGTGTGGGAGTCTCTGCAAGCATGTTAAGCATGGCCTTGCATATAAAGAGGCAGGTTCGAGTAATACCTCGCCCGGAGGATCGCGCTGCTGTGGGGGTGTAAGCTCATCGACATCACACAATTGTGTGCCAGAGTGCTGCTTTTCTGCATGTGCACCAACCGCCATCGCCATCAGGAGCCACGAGCTACCCATCTCCCGTGGCGCCGCACCCTATCAGCCAGAGGGTGCGGCCGCGGAGGTAGGGCCACAAGTCGCAAGGGGACGCCCGCAAGGCGGCGCCGGCGTGCAGCTTCTTGGCGAGCTCCATGCCCGCGGCCCGCTGCTCGTCGTTGCACACTGCAAAGGTCTGGGACGAGGTGAGCATCTTGCATTCCTCGGCCCTGCGGGATGTGTTGGTTTGTGCTGTAAATATGGCGCGTTGGCGGCTTTGTAGACGTGCGGTTGCGGTACCAGGGCCCTCTGAACTCAGCGGTGTGTGTGCCGCGCTGTCCGCATGCGCTGCACGGCGCGGTTGTGCCGCAGTGCCTTCGCGCTGGTGCTTGCGATGCATCGGGGTTGTTGCGTTTGCTACCGCTCTCACCAGTAGCCGCTGCGCGGACAGGGCTGGCCGCTTGCGTCGCGGCACACTTCATTGTTCAGCACGCCGCCCATGAGCAGGCCTCCCGTCCGCGCGTTGCTGTTCGGGTACTGCAGAGGGCAGTCTGCGGCATTTGCAGCACTCATAATAGTCACCAAAGCAACTACGAATGCCCAGCGGGCCCCATCTCGCAGCATCGCGGCCAGGACCGCGCGGCTAGTACAATATACTCGCCGCTTCCGAAAAGAACGCTGACATCAGAAGCTTTGATAAAAGCATTCAAAAATCAAAGATATGCATGGTGGTGTCGAGGGTGGGTGGGGTGTCTGCAGCAGTCACCCATGTGGTCGCTGCTGGGCGTAGCTCGATAGCTGCGGCATGGCATATGCTGGACGTCCTGCTGCATCGGGGGCCTTGCAGCCGTGGAGGTCAGCCCTACTGCACAATACTTTGATACATCGTTTGTTTAAGCACTCGCTTGCACTCACGCGTGTGTGCATGTGCGTGCGTGCATGTGTGGGTCCTGCATGGTGTGTGTGTGTGTGATGACTCCTGCTGTAATCACCCTCCCTTGGAACACCAATTGTCAGGCAGTGTGACATTTTCAGGTGACCAGATTATAACGGTCACAGCAGCCCGTTGTTACAAGCGATTGCGGCCGCGTCCAACGCCCGCGTGCATGGAGCTGCATGCACTCGACACACGATGCACCCGACCCTGTACACATGCGCCCACAACGCACCGAAATAAGACTGCACATAAGCGCCCAACACGTGCTAATGCCCACGCGCAGGCACCGCCTCCACCGCCGCACCGGCAGGGCGCGGCCAGCAACACACAAACCATCAAGGGGGCACCGCTGGCTGGATTTGTACGCGTCGATACACCAGCGGGCGCCGAAGTGTTGTAGCAGCGAGCTGCCATCCACCCGACTGCAGAGGCGCAGCCACAAAGCAGGTAAGCAGTGACGCCCATTGGGCCTGCACTCAGATCTTTGATCTCAGATCAGGCGAGAAAGACCTTGCCCTCCTTGGCGGCGGCATAGTTGGCCGCGGCCTGGGTGGCGGGAAGCAGGGGGGTTGACACGAGGGGTTGGGTGTGTGCAAAAGGGCCAACACGGCTTTGACACAAGTGGACTTGCCACTTCAAGTGAGCCAGAGGGCGTATTGCGATGATAGTCCCCTGTACAGCACCCAGGGAACGGTGGCGCAAGCACATGCACTGATGCACTCACCAAGGCGAGCGCGCCCCCCCCCCCACACACACATCCAT